AAACACACTTTGCTACCGACATTTGCCAACATTTATAGAAGCAGAAGGATGGCTACAAGAAAGGGCCACAGGCCTGCCATTCACCTTCGACAGTTATTCCGCCAGTGCCGTTTCATCTATTTTCCCAGTCCTTCCCCCTGGCCCCACGGGGATTATTGTAAAGCAAATTCCTGACATATTAGCTATAAACGTTCTATAATGTGTCCAAAGGGGAAGACATAGCCCCAACACCAATAACACACTTAATTCAGTCACATCACCTGACGCATGTAATCCACATTCAGATCCACCGTTGTCCTCAAAACGACGATTATCCCCGCTTTTCTCCGCAACCCAGGCTCCATTCAGGTCTCACGCCTGAGTATATTGGTTGCTCTAGCTCTTTAGTTTCTCTTTCTAAGACATCCTTATTGAGATATAATTTACATGTCACATAATTCACCCATTTTAAGTGTACAACGTATTGGGTTTTAGTGTGCAATAGTCACAAAGGTGCACCATCATGATGAATTTTAGAATATTTCATCACCCCAAATAGAATCCCCTGTAAGCCTTAGGCAACCACTAAGCTACTTCCTGTCTCCACAGGTTTGCCTAGAACCATACCATATGGTCTTCTGTGCCTGGCTGCTTTCATAGCACTTCACGGTCCATTAATGTAGCATATGTCAGCCCTTGGTTCTTTTTTTTAAATAGCCAAATAGTCTTCCATTGCATGGAGATACTGTTCTGTCTATAAGTTATCACTTCGGTCTCTCTTATACTTCCTACACATTTGTTCTTTTTTTTTTTTTAATATACTTTATTGATTTTGTACAGAGAGGAAGGGAGAGAGATACAGAGTTGAGAGATACAGAGTTAGACATCAATGAGAGAGAGTCATCGATCAGCTGCCTCTTGCACACCCCCTACTGGGGATATGCCCGCAACCAAGGTACATGCCCTTGACCGGAATCGAACCCGGGACCTTTCAGTCCCCAAGCTGACGCTCTATCCATTGAGCCAAACCGGTCTGGGCTTCCTACACATTTGTTCTATCGTCTTTCCTCACGTTGCCTTTTTGGGGAAGGCGTCCAAGCCAGTTGTCTCACAGAAGGACCTGCATTCTTGGTCTAATTGTTTTCTTATGCTTCGGCCCAGGCTCGGCCTCTGGGCCAGGAATGCCACCTGGGGGTGCTGTGTGCTCCTCAACCGTGTACGTCCGGAGTGCACACTCCCAGGTCACACCCGCAGAGGTGCTGAGTGTGAGCTCTCGCTTAGCATGGCGATGACCACATTTCTCCTTTTAGGGGCACCTTCTTCTTGGTAACTTGTCGCCGTCAGCGGGGTGCCAGGCTGAGACTGTGTGGGTCTCCGGCCCCTGACGGTCTTCACCCAGCGCTCTGGGCATCCTTGAAGAGCCAGGCCTGCGTCTGTTTTGACATCGGGCTTTGCAAATTGGCGATTTGCTCGTTCTTGATACATTTTTCTGTGGAGACTGCTGCCCTCCCCTCTCCCTGATATCACCACTTTTGGGGTTCATCGTTTGTGGTCGTTGTTCCTGTTCATATTCAAATGGTCCCAAATCTGGCTTGCTGAGCCCCTGTGAGCTGGCTTCTGTGCCCTTTGTGGTAGCACACCATTTTTTGAATAAGGTGTTCCTGGTCGGCCTGGACCTTTGGAATCGGCCACTTCCCAAGGAGCCCGAGTTCCTTAAGTGGGAATAGCGTTTATACAACCCCTCTGCCAAAACCGGTTTGGCTCAGTGGATAGAGCGTCAGCCTGCGGACTGAAAGGTCCCAGGTTCTATTCCGGTCAAGGGCATGTACCTTGGTTGCAGGCACATCCCCAGTGAGGGGTGTGCAGGAGGCAGCTGATCGATGTTTCTAACTCTCTATCCATCTCTCTTCCTCTCTGTAAAAATTCAATTATATATATATATATATATATATATATATATATATATATATATACACACACACACACACACACACATATATTGTGTGTGTGTGTATATATATATATATATATATATATTTTTTTTTTTTTTTTTTTTTTTTTTTTTAAGAAAGAAATCCAACCCCTTGCTACTAGCGGTTCTCAATGTGACTTCTGGGTCCTTTCAGGAGAATGCTGCAGGGACTGTGTGAGTGTGTGTGTGTGTGTGTGTGTGTGTATTTTACATGCAAATGTATATGATGTATTTATACAACATGTTTCTATGTATACGTATATGACATTGGAACATAGTCATCAGCTGCAAGCGCAGAACCGGAGACCACCCCAGAGAGCCGGAGGCCCCGCTCAGCACTGGCTGAGGTGCCCAGCTCAGGACAGAGATGGGAAGGTGCTGATGCCCACACTTACAGCGCCACCTTCCCATGACCCCCTCATGCCAGTATTTGCCCTCCTGTTCTGGCTCAAGTCGTGGGAGCACGTGACCTCTGTGTCCAGCCCAGCCCACAGAGGCTGGACACAGGGATTCCAAAAGCACTACTTGTGGACGATGGGATCTCTCCTGACCCCTGCAGACACCTGGAAAGCAAGAGATGGCCCCAGGCTCAGGGGGAGAGATGGCGGGAGACAGAGGGTTAGTCAGACTTGGCTTCCGATGTCCTCTGCTTCCTTGCCTTGGGGCCCCGGACAAGCAGTTGGTTTCTGCCAGCCTCCGTGTCACTATTTGTAAAGCGCAGGTGGTGCCTCAAACCTGCTGGTGTCCCCCATGCTTAGCCCCTTGTCCTCTCCTCATCGCCATCCCGTCAGCAGTGAGACCGACTGCAGGCTGTGGCGGGAGTGCCCTCCTGGTGGCTGGAGTGAGAGCGCGGAGTGCCAACAACAGAGACCCTGCAAGCTGCAGAACTGTCCTAGAGACCCCTTCCGCCTTCTCCCTCAGGGACAGTTCACCCTGAACAATGCAGGGGCGGGGGGCGGTGGGGGGAAACGGGCTGTGAATCCCTGCACAGTCGAAAACCCACAGTAACTGTGGACTCCCCACAGACTTAACTACTGCCCCCCGGTGTCCTCGGGGATTGCATCCAGGAGCCCAGTGGTTACCAGAATCCTCGCATATGCGAGTTCCTTCTATAAGGTGGTGCAGAGCCGCGGCCGCAGGTGCACACAGCTCACCCGCATTGTTTCGTGGGTTCCCAGCCACAGAGGAGACGTACTGCTTGAACCTGAGGACGTGGGGCCTGGGATAAAGGAGGGCAGACCGTGTATTTATTGAAAAACAGCATCGATGTGCAGGTGGACCCCTGCAGACAAGTCCGTGTTGGTCAAGGGTGGGCTGTGTTTGCGTGGCCTGAGCCTCGAGAGGACCTTGCGCCTGTCTCCTCTCCTTGGAGAATGGCCCCTGGGTGCCCGCCGTGCCTTCCTCCTGGGCAGCCCCGTGAGGGCAAGCGCCCGGGGGCAGAATTGATAACTTGGGAGGGTCAGGTGGGGGAGCTGGATGAGTGGAGCCATTGAAAACATTGGCAGAAGCTGGTTGGTCCCCAGCATGCTGTTGCCCCAAGTCCTGGGGGGCCTGCTGGAGGAGCTGCCAGAAGTGGGGCACCTGAACATAGAAGTGGAGGGACAGGATGTAGACCGGGCGCCTCCCAGGGAGGGGCTAGCCTGTCTGGGCCTGCGGGTCAGGACCCTGGGGGCAGGGAGCCCTGGGGGACACGGCTAGAGCTCGAATTGGGGCACATCCTCAGTTAACTCTGATGCACCCGAAACCGGAGGACCGTGGTAACAAATGGTGAAACTGAGGCTCAAAGAAGTCACAGGACTTGGCAGGACGTGGAGGCGAGTGAGTTCCTTTTCTCGTCTGTAAGAGAGATGACCCATGAGGCCCTTTTTATCTGGACATCTTAATGGATTGGCTTTATTAGCTGACTTGAGTCAGAGTAGGTCTGGGAGGGAGGGAGGGGCCGAGGACACCATAGGCAGGGACTCAGGCAGCTCCCTGTGTTGCCCTTCTTCCTGAGAAGCCCCTGAGGCGGGCTGGACCCGCTCTGTCCCCCCAGAAGTCATTCCTGCCCCGGGGGTGGGGGCCCTCCGTCCCAGAGGCTTGCTGGAGAAGCCCCTCCAGGCCTTCTGAGGGACTTGATCTGTGAAATCTGACAGCCACTTCCTCACGCTCCATCAGAGAAAAGATAGGGACTCTCACTCGCCGGCCACACGCGTGCCTCGGGGGTGGGCCTGCGCCAGGACGGGCGTGGCTCGGGACGGGAGTGGGTGCCACTGTCCTGCCAGAGACCCTGATGTCACTGCCGTGAGTGCGACAGTGAGACCCGGAGCTGACCTCCTGCTAGGTTCCTCGGCTCTGGCCGCCAGCGTGGCGTTTTCAGCCAGCCCTCCTCGGGTTCCCACACGAACCGTCCTGGCGGGCGCTGCTGAGGACCGCGGGCTCGGAGGCTCTGGGACAGTGGTTTTGCTGCCAGCTGCGGGAAGACAGAACAGGCAATCTGAAGTCTGTGTGCGTGAAAACTGACCTGTGACTTTCCGCTGAGATCCCTGCTGCTCCGGGGCTGGGGGGCCGGCAGGCAGGTGGCTGAGCCCGGGGCACGTGGCAGGATGGACAGAGGGTTTGAGGGTTTCCCGCGTCCACCAGTTCCAGATGAAGCTGTTGCTCTCTCTGCATCCCCTGGAGGCGGTGGCCTGCAGCCTGCCTTCCGCTTAACCCTCTGCTCCCCAGTGGCTTCTGCAGGTGCAGGCAGCACGCGCACGCAGAGCCGCTTGCCAGCAGAGGGCAGCGGAGGGTTAACTCCCACATCGCAGAGGAGAGGAGGCCGCCTGGTTTGGAGCTGTTCCCCCCAGCTCTCAGGCCTCTTGCGGGCACAGGGGACAGGAGCAGAGTGGGGTCAGGGTGCTCCCGCCTGCCTCTCCCAGACTATGGTGACCTAGGGTCGGTGGCAGGCTGAGCATCCGAACTTCCCAGCCTACGGCTTGTCACCCACCCGCCGCCGACAGGGGACCCTGGTGAGAGCCAATCCAGGATGGAGGACAGCTCTGACGATGCTTCTTGCCTCTCCCTCCAGAACCTGGGGTCCTCGTCACCGGGCAGAAAGCAGAACAAGGAGAACACCATCACGGTAAGTGGCTCCCTCAAAGCGCTCTCTGGCTGCTGCGTGGCAAACTGGGGCTGTCCGCCAAGGATGGGCTGTTGCCATGACGACGTGGACAGAGCATGGAAGCGATGCCCAGCCTGGAGCTGGGAAGTTCCAGAGCTCGGATGCAGCCAGTGTTCCCCGTGGGTCCCCCCCTTGTGTGGATGTCACACCTCACGTCTCTCTCTGGGGGAGCAAGGGGAAGGACGGAGGCTGGATGAGGCAGGAGCCATTTCTGCAGGGTGGGCGGTTGGGGGTGAGGGGGTGGACCGCCGCGCTCTGTGCAAGTGACGTGACATGCAAATTATAGCCGTTGCGTCTGTGCCGGGTAACTTCTGGGAGATGTCAGAGTTAAAAGCCAGGGAAAGAGCCCTAAGAATAGAGTTCCCGGGAGCTCCTGGCAGGAAGCAAGCGGCTTCCCCCTGGAGTGGCCACACAACCTCCCAGGGCCTTTTCCACAGCCACACGCCCCACGTGCAGCATCCCATCAGCCCGGGGCCTGGGGAAGGGGGTGCTGGCCAGCAGTGCCCCCTGCAGGTGGGCAGGTGAGGTGCCCAGGTGCTCAAACAGCCAAGGCCTCGGAGACCTGAGAAGTGTGGTCCCCACTGTGCCGTTCTGACACAAGCACAGCAGAGCTGGGGCCAGGGACTCGCTCTCCGGCTCCGTCACGCACACGTCTGAGCATTCTGGCCGCCCCCACCCCCGCCGAGGTGTCTCCGAGAGCGGGTGCACGCCCCGGCTCATGCAGGCTGGCAGTCCTGCTTGGAAGGAGAAACCGTTAGGCAAACAATAACAGCAATCACTGCTGCCACTCTTGGGTGAGTGTCTAACGCACACGCAGTGCTCGGAGCGGCTCACTCCACACTCCACGCACTGTGTTGTGCAGTGACAGTGACCGTGAACCTGGGCTCTGCAGCCGGAGTGTGCGGTGCAGGCCTGGGGCAGGGTCCCCTGTGTCTTCGTGTCTGTGCCCACATCTGTGAGGCAGGGAGGGTGTGGGGATCTGTGTCACAGGGATGGTATGAGGACTGAACCTGCACGCGGAAAGCACTTAAAACAGGCCTGGCACATGGTAAGTGCTCAGTACACTGTCATATTCTCACCACCCCGTTTACAGATGAGGAAACAGAGGAATAAACACATCCCGCCCAAGGCCACACAGCTGGGAGCCATTGGGATCCAGACCTGTGCTGTTACCTCCCCCCCAAATCCGCCACTCCCCTGCCACCCCCCACCCCCCGCAGTGGGCATTGCCTCCTGGGCAGGCAGGGTGGCTCAGCCCGAATGGACAGGTTGGCAGCAGCTTCCTTGCTGCTGGAGCCAATGGGGCAGGGCGGGGGCAGACTTCAAGGCAAATCATCGAATTGCCACAGAATGCCTGAAGTGCTGGAGCAAAGTGGAGCTCCCGAAAGTTTCCAGAAGTTGGAGAGAGGGAGGAGAATGAGCGGGGGCATTGGAATTGTAGAAGGGGAGAGAAGGACAGATGAAGAGCGGAAAGCGGAATGAGGCCTCCCAGCGTTGCCTGACGGGCCTTCGGAGGCCGTGCCCAGGCTGGCAGATGGCTGTTCCCTGCAGTGCCCCTTGGAGCTGGGCCTCGGGCTCTGGCAGCGAGGGCGGGGCGGGGCTGGGACCGGGATCTCCTAGCCAGCACACCTTGCCCATCTCTGCCCGGGCCTTCCCTCCCGCTTCCTGCCCACCAAACTCAGCGCTTCCCGCTTCTCCGGAGCCAGGCTGCGAGTGAGGCCGGCGCCTGAGGCCTGAGGGACGTGTTATCATGCAGGGTCCCTCCGTGGGGCCTGACACCTGAGTCCGTCTCTCAGGGCCCGGCTGGAAGGTTTGTGTTGTAACCAACACCCCCAGGGTTTTAGGTAAACACTCAACCCTGGGGGATAATTGCTGGGGAAACTGAGGGTGGGGGGCTGGCAGAGCCCCGGACTTCACCTGGGTCTGCTGGCTCCGTTCACCCAGATGGCCCCTCACATCCTCAGGCCGGAGGTGGGCTGGAGGGTGCAGAGTCACCCTGCATATTGGAGGGTGTTTACCAGCATCCCTGGCCTCTCCCCGCCAGGTGCCAGCACCAACCCTCCCCTTCCCCCCTCAGGTGTGACCACCAAAAATGCCTCCAGGTCGCCAGGTGTCCCGGGACAGGGGAGGGGCAGCCACCCCAAAGGATAGTCCCTGAGCTAGCTTCATGGTAGTGTGAAGTCTGTCGGCGAAGTCTGTCCGCATTTCTCTGCTTCTCCACTTGTCTGTCGGCGAAGTCTGTCCGCATTTCTCTGCTTCTCCACTTGGCTGCGCTGCTCCGAGCCACCGGCATGCCCTCTGGTTACTGCGGGGCCTCCCGGGTGGCTGAGGTCACTGTGTGCTCCTCCTGTGTGTTCTCCAAGCGGCAGCAAATGGCTCACCCTGAGAGTCCCGGGCCAGATGCTCCGTGCCCCCCACCCCCCACCCCAGTGCCAGCAGGTCCCTTTTGGCCTCAGTGCTGTCTGCTCCCTGACTGTGATCCCGGACACAGAGCAGCACCTTCCCCAGCTGGCCGGGCACTGCACCCTCAGACCCTGAGCCCTTTCCCTCCCAGCCATCCCCCTCCACCACCCCCGCCGCCCTGACCTCACCTGTGTTACCTAATATCACCCCTTCCCAGATCCTCCCCTTCATGTAGCCCCACACCCAGGCTCACCCCGTGGCAGACTCCTCCTGAAGCACTGCCGCTACTTACCGTATTTTTCGGACCATAAGACGCTCCGGACCATAAGACGCACCAGTTTTTAGAGAAGGGAAATGAAGAAAAAAAGATTCTGAAACAAATAGTGACCTAAAATATTTTATGTGCATTAAAACCCAACATCACAGTCATAAACACATGTAATCAACCCTGTAAGGTAAACAGCAGCATTTAGAACCATTTTAGAGCCGGGCAAGCACACAGAGACCACACAGAGCCGGGCAAGTAAAAAAACTTTTTTTTTAAAGTATATGTGTAGGCTATATTTGGACCATAAGACGCAGGGACTTTTTCCCCCCACTTCGGGGGGAAAAAAAGTGCGTCTTATGGTCCGAAAAATACAGTATCTCTCGTAGTCCTTCCTCACGAGTCTGTGAAGCGGAGGGCAGAGACTGTACCCGCTGTTTCCAGCCTCCAGTCATCCCCCCGGGACACATTGAGCCCCGCTGGTGCCCACGCTGCGCCAGGCCCGGTGGAAAGAGCAGGAGAGAGCTGGGAAATGCACAGTCAGGAGGAGCACATTACAAATGCACGTGCACGGCGTGCTGGGAAGGACTATCCGAGTGCGCCCCCCGGGTACCACCCATGTGGCACGGGCACGAGCAGGTGTCCGCTGAGCAGCCAGCAGGGGGTTGAGGGTGAGGGCGTGCGCTCTGCTGTCACCCTCTGCATTCAAACACTGTATCTGGGCGACCCTCCGTGTCCACAGATCAGACGAGGCCAGTGTGACCCAGCCCGTGGGGCTGCTGGGAGGATGATGGATGACGTGAGAATCCCTGCGAAGCTACTGGCAGGGCGCCTGGCAGGGCACCGGGGTGAGGGCTCCCCAGGCATTGCAGGAGTCATTCATTGCCACTGCCTCCTGGGGGGCCACTGATGCAGTTCCAGGAATGCCCACCGGGGGGCGCAGGGCTCTGAGGAGGCAGAGGAACCCCCCTGGGAGAGCTGGGCATTGACAGAGGCAGGAACAGCCAGTCCATCCAGGGGCCAGGTCCCCCCAGGATGGCAGAAGCCACTGAGGGGTGAGGCCTTACCCTCCTTGGCTTCCCCCTCAACACAGCTAATGCTCCTTCAGGGCTTGCTCCAGGGCCACAAGCCAGCCCCTTGCCTTCCAGATCCCCACTGGACACTAGAGAAGATGCTCACCCCCACCCCCTGCGCCTCCACCCTCCTAGTTCTGTCATTCTTAATCCTCGATCCAATGTCAGCTCAGGTGTCGTTGAATCTGGGTGAGATTTTCAGGGACAGCATCGTTAAGTTAAATAAAGTTGGAGGTCACCATGATTTGTTGAAAGCAGAGTAGAAGGAACATGAAATGAGGACTGGGGGAAACTCCAAAATCCATCCTTCGTCCCCATGACGGCTGCTGCCAGAGAGACCCCGCACAAGGGTGGCCCGAGCCGTAAGCGCACCTTGGGGTGTAAGCCCGCAAAGGGGGCCTGGAGACCTGGGCATGGAGAGGCTGGCCTGCCCCCAGGCAGCCCCCGCAGGCCACTGCTACGTGGGTTCCGTGGGTGCAGCACTGGAAGGAAACGCCCCACCCAGGGGGGGCTTCAGGCCTCCACCAGCCATGGTGGAATTTAGTGCCCCTGATCCTTCCTACCTGTCATGCTTCCTTCAGAGTGGGAATCGCGCCCAGACTTCAGCCCCAGTTCTGGGGGAGGGGCTCTTCTCTTGGCTGGACTCTCCCACGCTCCCTAAGTGAGGCCCGCCCCTCCTCCCTCACCAGCAGCCAGTGGGGTGGGGGTTGGATGGGGGTGTGAATGTGAATTTACTTCCAGCCCCACTCCCTCCCCTGGAACAGGCCATTGGGGGGGGGGGGGGAGTAGATTAGCCTGACCCAGCCGGTAGAGGGGCTGGTTCGCTTACATTATTGTTGACATCATTGCTGTTGGCCTTGGATTCATTCATTTCAAAAATTGAGACACTTTGCATCCAACTCCTGACCTGAAGCTCCTCAGGCTACCACATAACCCTATAAGGAGGGCTCCTCACTCTGTCTTGATAAGAGTTGGTGGGGGTGAGAGCAGGCTGCCCTTCAGGCTTAGCGGGATCTCCGTGGACCCCCATCCCTTCCGGAAGCAGAGGCTGGCCCCCAACCTGAGCTGCAGTTTCTGACCCAGGGCCCCTCCCTTGTGGTGTGAGCTGCCTGGCCTCGGAGCTGGTGCCTCTGTAGAAGCCTGCGGCTTTTCTGCACTGCTCTTAGCCAGACGCGTGCAGCTCCACTCCAGAAGCTGGGGCTGCCGTGAGGGTTAAAGATGGACAGGGCAGGGCTCAGGCCTGGTGGGACTGTGGCTCCCAAAGGGAGCACAAATCAGCTGACTCCCTGGGAGGGACCCCGCTACATGGAGCGGACCCAGCTTACAGCGACATCGGCAGCAGTGGGAGGAAGCCACTCCGCCCGGCGGGGAGAGCAGGGCTCTGGGACCAGCTCCCGTGGGGGGTCTGAGCCCATCCCAGCACCTGCACTGCTCTCTCCAGCAGGCTCCTGGGGTAGCGCTGCAACCTATGTTGTCTGAGATCACATTCACAAGGTGGCTGTTCACCCCTGACCTTGGGCCACAGCGTTCCTTTCCCTGGGAGCGAACGGTGCTACCAGCCACAGAAGTGTCCCCTCTGTCAATAACCAAAGGTGGATCTACCCCCCTTTTTACACAAGTGGTGGCAGATAGCCACATCCTATCCCCTGCTGCCTCCCCTCCCCACTCAGTCTGTCCTGATACACCTGCTGACACGCCACTTCCCTGGTTGCCCGCCTGGCTCGTGCTGTGCTTGCCCTCCTCGTGCTGGTGGACAGATTTGTGTCCAGCCTTTCGCTGTTACGGAGAGCACTGGGGGCGACACCCTGCCCGTGTGTCTGCATGCCTATGAGACATGCCTGTGGAATAGACTCACTCACTGGGTCGAAGGCTCTGGATGTTTGCAGATTTGATAGACACTCTCAGTCTGCCCCCCCGCCCTAGAGAGTTTATACCAAGGGCAGCCCCTCTAGGGTGGCTGTGAGTCCCGGTGCCCCCATTTGACACGTCGACCCCTGGAGCATCTCGAGATCGCTGTGAGCGTTCTCGCACGCTGACCCTCCTGGCGCCTCTGCAGCGCTGTGTCCGGGAGCAGAGCCTTCCCAGCCGCCCAGCCCTCAGCCACGTCCTTTCTCCCCTGCCCTATGCCTGCAGGTCAACTGCGTGACCTTCCCCCACCCGGACACGATGCCGGAGCAGCAGCTGCTGAAACCAACCGAGTGGAGCTACTGCGACTACTTCTGGGTAAGTGGTGCCTCCGTTTCCCCCACGCTGTGGCCCCCAGGACCAAGAGGGGTCACAAAGGGCCTTGAGCTCAAAGCAGAGAGGCCTCTGCTATTGAGGCCTGAAGGACTGGTGGGAGATTTAGGACCTGAGGTGGGAAGTTAAGACCCTCTGGGGTCCATAATGTTCCATAAATCTCAGAGAATTGATAGGGTTTTCATTCGGGGCAACACGGAAACTCGGGCAGAAAGCCGGTAAGCTGGGCGGTCCCTTTCTCTGCTGCTCAGGAAAGGCTGGAGACTAGAGGCTACTTCAGGGAAGGAATCTGGGCTCCAGACCTGCTACGTCTCTTGTAGGGCACCTGGGACAATGCCTCCCGCAGGGCCTCCTTGTTTCCATCGAAGTCAGGAGGTTAGGCTTAAGGATCTGTAGAGAGCTCCAGACTCTGGCGTCCCAGAGCCTTTGCATATTGCTCAGTGGGTACGACGTTCCCGTTTCCCAAGACAAAGAGAAATTCTGGAGATGATGGTGGTGATGGTTGTACAACAATGTGAATACGTAATGCCCCTGAACTACAGTACACTCTTCCAAATGGTCAAGATGGTAAACTTTATGTTGTGGGTATTTTCCCACAAGTCAGTGTCTCTTGACAAATGCACAGCCCAGCTCCTCAGAAACTGTTAGAAGTCTTGGGCATTTGCATTTTATTTTATTTTATTTTATTTATTTTATTTTATATAAATTCGTACACTAGTAGGGTCCCTAGTGGTTGCTGACTGTCAGCCGGGTACTCCCTCCCTTCTCCCCCACCCCCCCAGCCCCACCCCCTGGTCAAACTCCAGTTGTACTCCTACTGGAGTATTTATTATGTAGTATTTTTACTGATTTCAGAGAGGAAGGAAGAGGGAGAAAGAGAGAGAAATATCCATGATGAGAGAGAATCATCAGTCGGCTGCCTCCTGCATGCCCTACACTGGGGATCAGGTCTGCAACCCAGGCAAGTGCCCTGACCAGGAATCGCACCGTGGCCTCCTGGCTCATAAGTCAACACCTCAACCATTGAGCCACCCCTTCCCATTCCCCTCTCCTGAAGTGTCCATTCTGGGGTCTTAGAGAAGCAACCCACTCCCATTTGAAGGGGCGGGGCCCGAGGACGCAGCCAGGATGGGGAAGACCTGGCCGGTCACACCTGCCAAGACCTGACCCCATACCTCTCGGTGAGGTCGAAGGGCATACTTTTGACTCCTCCCATTAAACACCAGAGCATTGGACCCTGATTCCTGGGGGTAAAGGCTGAGATGGAGGAGGCACACCCAGGGCCTGGGCGGCTCCGAGAGCTGTGAGGGCAGATGCCAGATGGATGCCCCACAGGCAGGCGGTGGGCCAGGGCGGCAGGAAAGAGATGCCCAGGTGTCCTTGAGGAAGTGCAGACCAAACATAGCTAACCCATTTAATTTTGAAATTTTCGGAGACTTTGCTTGCGAAATAAATTGGATACCAAGTTTTCATGTCATTGACTTGGCCTTCGTTTCTGAGTCCTGACTTTTACTCAAAAGGAGCTCCTAGTGGCTACTGTTCACTGGGCCCTTAGTTTCTGGTGAGCCCTGGGCTCAGCCGTTCCCACGTGCGGTTGATCCTGAGGAGACCAGGGGGCCGGGCCGGTGCTTCTCCAGTTTCCCAGGCGAAGCAGCTCAGGCCCCCGAGCGCATGGAGACTTGCCCCTGAGATCCCCGCTCTGGATGTCAGCCCAGGCGCCTGCCCTCTCCACTCTGGCCTCCTCCCACCCAGCATCTCTCAGAAGCCCCCCAGACCCTTGGTGAATGTGCATTAGAAGGTGTCGCTGCCCGGTCAGTGCAAGAAGCCGACAGGAGATGGGATGGTGTAGCGCCGTGGTTCTCAACCTTCTTAATGCGGTAATGTTAGTTCCTCATGGTGTGGTGACCCCAACCATAAAATTACTTTCACTGCTACTTCATCACTGTAACTTTGCTACTCTTAACGAATCGTAATGTCAATATCTGTGTTTTCCGATGGTCTTAGGCAACTCTCTAATCGCTGCTGTAGAGCCTAAGACCATCGGAAAACACAGATATTTACATTATGCTTCATTAACAGTAGCAAAATTACAGTTATGAATTAACCACAAAAACAATTTTATGGTTAGGGGTCACCACACCATGAGGAACTGTATTAAAGGGTCGCAGCATTGGAAGGTTGAGAACCACTGGAAGGGTTAGGGACATAGGACGCCAAGGTCACAGGCGGTCGCAGCTTCAAGTCAGGATGCCGGGACTCCCCAGAGGGTCCGCAGCCTCAGCAGCCCCTGGTCGGAAGGGATGGGCCCTTGGGGGTCAGAACCGGTGCTCTTGGCCGCCGGACCCTCCTCTTCTTTCCTGGTTGGGCAGTTGAGGGGCTTGGGCGCGGGGTGGCTTATGCTCACAGGGCCCGTGGGAGCCGGGCACCAGGAGACACACACGGTCAGGCAGCCAAGGCTGCGCCTGTCCTCTCTCTCGGGCTGAGGACAGGCCTCCCCAGATGTCCTGGTCCCCTGGGTCTGTCTTCCCTCTTTCCCCCGCCATCACTGAGCCTCCTGCTTCTGCTTCCTTCCTAGGCTGACAAGAAGGACCCCCAAGGCAATGGCAATGTGGCTGGGTTTGAGTTGCTGCTTCAGAAACAGCTGAAGGGCAAGCAGATGCAGAAGGAGATGTCAGAATTCATCCGGGAGAGGTAGGCCCACCTGCCCAGCTCAGGGCCCTGGGGACAGGGCCTGTGTGGCCCCCGAGCCTGAGGGGAGTGAGTGGCAGGAGGGAGCCCGCACCCCAGAACCAAGGGGAGCATGAGGCTGCAGCCACCCCTCAGGGCCCTCGGGACAGACCTGGCTGGCAAACGTGTGGTTCTGGCCTACGTCATGTTTTTAAAGATTTGAACTAACATTTTTTTTAATTAACTTTTATTGATTAAGGTATCACATATTTGTCCTCAACCCCCCATTTCAATCCTCCAGCCCCTCATGCCCCCACCCCCCTATTGTCCTTGACCACTGGTTAGGCTCATATGTGTGCACGTAAGTCCTTTGGTTGATCTCTCCCTTTTATCCCCACCCTCCCTCTGAGGTCCGACAGTCTGACCCATGGCTCCTTATCTCTGGGTCTGTTCTTGGTCATCAGTCTATGTTGTTCACCATTTCTCCTAGATGAGTGAGATCATGTCCTACTGGAAATATACTTATAAGAATAGAAAATGAGACAAACAACGATCGTTATGCTGAAAGGCATATGAATCAGTCTGTAGTGAGCTTCTTTCTGGGCCACCAGTTCTTTTGAGACCCAATTTCAATGTCAAACAGTTCCTTATGTGTACATGTCAGCAATGACATTTCAGTTCTGGATGGTGGGCAAATGGTTTTAATGCAGGTCCAACCCTCTGCAGTGATACACAGCTGCTGACTGCTATTATTGAACCAACATTTTTTAAGTTGGCCGGTTTTTACACTAAAATCTAGTGTCTCTGGAGAAAGCGGGAAGTCTGGAGACAGTGTGTGTGGCATTTGGCTGAAGCTGAGTGTCCGCGGCCTCTGTAAGGGGAGCGTGTGTTCCCAGTTTGCCATGGTCCCCACCACTCCCTGCTGTCCCACACAGACTGTGTGGCTCCTTTACCCACGTGGCCCTCGTTTGAAGCACATCCCTTAGCGTGAGAAAAAAGAGTGTCGCCTTTCAGTTAGACTTCAAACCAAATCTGTGTCCTGGACCTGGGCTTACAGAACCCTCCGCACCTCCCCACACCCTCATCCTCATGAGCTCAGGGTAACGGGGGAGGCAGATGAGGGGCTTTCGGAAAGGAAGTGCAGGGGTTATAATAGTGGTTCAGCCCTAACCGGTGTGGCTCCGTGGATAGAGCGTCGGCCTGCAGACTGAAGGGTCCCATGTTCAATTCTGATTAAGGGCATGTACCTTGGTTGAGGGCACATCCCCAGTACGGGTTGTACAGAAGGCAGCTGATCGATGTTTCTCTCTCATCAATGTTTCTAACTCTACCCTTCTCCCTTCCTCTCTGTAAAAAAATCAATAAAATATATATTTTTTAAAAATAGTGATTCAGGTGAACAAAGGAGAGGAGATAGGAAATTATTGTTATGAAAAACTATAAAAAGACAAGGTTCCTTTCTACCCCCTCTCTCCAAGTTCAGAAACCCCATTAAGCACACCTCACACACCCACTACCACATGCAGGTTACCCCCCACACCCATGTCTGCATTTGCTCACTCGCATGTGTGCCTGCAGACATACACAATGTGCTCAAACATGGACATGTACTTGCATGTACTTGCATACATTATGTATGTTCAGACACATACACACAGCTTTCTGTCTGGAGTTTCCTGGACACACTGGAAATATTTAGTAAATGGCAATGTATCTACACTGTTTTTTAATTATAACAATAATTGAGTAATAATTCTTTAGCATCTTAAAGCGCCCCTTTGCCTTCGGAGCCCCGTGTTCTGTTCATATAATGAAATCTTTATTTTATGGCCCATTAAACTGGCACAGAGCCGAGAGGTTACATAGCTCAGGTGCAAAAAAAAAACACAAAAAAACACACAACAGCATAAAATAGGCAAATAGGAAAATGGTTGTAAAAGCCGAAGGTTGAACACACCCATGGTTTATACTCTCATAGAGGTGTCATGTTGGCAAATAAATTGAGCCTACAGCCTGAGAGCGCTGGTCTTTCCCGAGGCACGGAGTTCCTCTCGGTCCACCTTGGGGTCACTTTGGGAGCCTTTCAGAGCCAGGAGAGGGGCTGCCGAGGCACAAGCGGGAGCGAGCAGGCCAGGGGCCGAGGCCCGGGATTGGCTGTGGCCTCGGCTAGAAGCTTGCAGGCGTGGGTTGAGGCAGGTGCTGGCCCTGGCTGTGCGTGCTGAAGCAGACAGGCCTTGTGCCTGGATGTCGTGGGAGCCTGGGAAGATTTGCATCCAGAGTGTGATGTGGTTTGACCTGGTTTCTAGAGAGATCTCTTGGTCACAGGCTGGAGGCCGCCGTGGGCTGGCCAGCCGGTCATCCTGGGAGCCCGGGGCTCAGGCAGAGTGAAGGGGAGGGAGCGATGAGACCCAGAGACCAGTCAAAGGTCTGGTTGCAAAGCAGTGAGAGGAGCAGGCTGTGGGTCTCAGCACCAAGCCATGAGATCTCGGACTCTCAAATGCTGCCCTGGGTCGTGGTAGGCCGCCCTGTGGACACCCTCGCTGCCACCCCAGCGTCTCGGGCTTTCCCATTTGCCGAGGGATGGACCAGGGGCACAGAACCTCCCAACAACACATTGAACGCGGGGGCACCAGACAGTACAGCATGCTCCCCGGAGAGTTGCCTCGAAAGTGTGTCAAGGCCCTGCCTGCTGGAAGCAAAGTCCACGGCAGCTTCCCTCTCCAGGGAAATGGAATCAGCAAGCTCTGGGCACTGCCTGGTCTCCATGGAAATACGTGTGCCCTGCATGCCTGGCTGTTAGAGGCATTGGGGGCTGGGAGACAACAGGGAGCAGTTCTATTTCTGCTTCTGAAGGGCCAATGCCACCTTGGAAGGTCTAAACCCAGAACTCGAGCTGGAAAGAGGAGGACAGCATTGGGCATCCCTGTGGTCCATCATGAGTTACATTTAATCCTTTAAGAGTCTCCCGAGTGTCCAGCCCCGGGTCAGGAGCTGTGCAAATGATAGCTTTTCACCTTCACAACCTGGCAGACAGCTGGGAATAGCCCATTTTGCAGATGAGCAGACAGGGAGGTTCAGACCATTTTGTGCTTTCATGCATTCATTCAACAGAATATTTACTAAGCACCTACTATGTGCCAGGCAGACAAGAGCCACGTACTCTCAGAGCATATGGTCTAGTGGGTTCCTTTACCTGGTTATTAAGCAGCAGGTCTGTAGTTTGGACCCACCAACCAGCACGGGGGAGCTGACCTGTTGCGTTTCCTCCCCTTGCAGGATAAAGATTGAAGAAGAATATGCGAAGAACTTAGCTAAGCTCTCTCAGAACTCCTTGGCTGCACAGGAGGAAGGGTGAGTGGAGAGTGGGAGAAAGAGGAGACACTTGGCGGGGGGGGGGGGGGGGGGGGGGGGTCGTTCCCTTTGCACTGATCACTGATTATTGCCATGGGCCCATTGGAGGGGAAGTCTCTATTGGCCTGGCTCACTGTGGGCATGCATGGTTCAAGGTGGGCACCCATGGCCCAGGTGAGGGCATGCATGCTCAAGGTTAGCACTTCTGCATTGTTTTTTTCTCTCGTGGCCAAGGGCCTCCTGCCATATGCTGGACCCCCTCTGCCTTGGCAGCTGGGCATCAGCCCCCAAATGCCGCACCTGCTTCTCTTTCTGAGGGCAGGCTGGTAGGAAGCTGGGTGTGAGAGGGTTCCGCACCTGGCTGCTTGTTTAGAATTCTCCCCTGTGGGTCTGAGGCCCCGGGCCCCCTCCTCTTCCAGCTGCTACAGTCCAGACTTCCTTGGGTGGGACCTGGGCTGGGGAGGCTCAGCCCACACTCCCGGCCACAGAAGGATCCCTGGTGGAAGGAAGACTGCGCCTTCTCCACTCTGTCTGGTTAGCAGAGCGTTTGGGCCTGCCGGTGGGAATGTAAGTGGTGCAGCCACTGGAGAAGCACAGCTTGGCAGTGCCTCAAAAACTAAGCCTAGAATTACTGTGACCCTGCAGTTCCGCTCACAGGCTTAGACCCAAAAGAATTGGAAGCAGATACTCAAACAAATACATGTACACGAATCCTCACAGCACCCAATTCACAGTAGCCAAAAGTTAGAAACAACCCAAGTGTCCATCAAAAGATGAATGGACAAAATATGATGTGTCCACATTGGATATATGGATATACACTGAGTGGGCAGATTATTATGATCTCTGAATGCATAATAATCTGGCCACTCAGTGTGTGTATACACACACACACACACACACACACATACACACACCACACACATATTAGAGACCCAGTGCATGAATATGTGCATGGGTGGGGTTCAGCCAGCCTATCTGCTGGTCGAACTCGTGGTTGAAGGGACAATTTGCATATTAGCCTTTTATTATATAGAATATACACTGAGTGGCCAGATTATTATGTGTTCAGAGATCATAATAATCTGGCCACTCAGTGTATGATGGAATTATTCAGCCATAAAAATGAATGAAGTACTGATCCATACTACTACGTGGATGAGGGAAAGAAGCAAGACACAGAGGTTGCATATTATATGATTCCATTTATGTGGAATGTCCAGAACAGACAAATTTGTAAGACAGAGTGGTGGCTGTCTGAGTTTGGGGGATAAAAGGGGATGGAGAGTAACTGCTTAATGAGCACGGGGTTTCTTCTGCTGGAGGGTGTGTATTCATCTCCGTGGGTTGCTGTAACAGTAAAAATAGACGGGCTTAACCAGCAGAAATAAACTTACCACAGCTCTGGAGGCTGGGAGTGCAGCAGCAAGTTGCCTGCAAGCTGGTGTCTGGTGAGAGCTCTCCTCTCCTTTGCAGGCGGCCTCCTCTGTGCTGTGGCTTTTCCCAGGGAGGAGGGAGAGCGAGTTCTCAGCGTCTCTTCTTATAAGGACACTAATCCCGTCTGATCGGGGGCCCACCCACATGACCTCACGTAACCTGTTTCTGCTATGGAGGACCCATCCCCAACTCACAGTCACACCAGGGGTTAGGGCTTCAACATGGTAACCAGGGGACACCAGCATTCAGTCCATCGCAGGGTAATGAAAGTGCTTCAGAACTAGCTAGAGGTGGTGGTTGCATATCAGAGTGGCCGGGCTAAGTGCGATCGTTCTGAATGAACTTCTTCCCAGCAATGAAAACAAAGGCGCAGGAAGTTAGCTTTGCAGGTCCCTGGAGTCTTCTGTCTGGTCGGACCTCCCTCCAGGGCAGCATCTGACTCCCTCCTGAGAGAGGAAGTGAGCCCAGGGGAAGGCAGTGGATGCCGTGGTTGTCCGAGAGTCCAGCCCTGCCTGCATGGCTTGGAAACCCTCAGCGGCATGGCTTTGCCGGCCACATGTGGTTTTGATCAAGGCCTCTGCACAGGCCCGCTATGCAGCCAGCAGGCCACCTCCGGGTGGTTTCCACCGACCCACCAGCCACAGGCCACAGGGCGGCCCTGCAAGGCTGGTGTCTCTCCCGCGGACAAAAATGAGGTTTCCTCAGGCCCCCCTGCTCCATGCGCTGGGCCTGAGATGAGGGCAGGAAGGAGGAGCGTGGAGGAGCTGCCCCACTGGCCGGGGCAGGGGCCTTTCCAGGCATTTCCATACCCTGTGACCACAGTGCTGCCCCGAGTCTCCCCCCTCCCCCTCCTCGGCCTGGGCTGCTGCCGAGGACACTCAGTCCTGCCAACACGCACAGCATATGCTCCCAGCTGAAGGCGCCAGGCCTGCACCGCCATGCTGTGCACACACACACCTACAGACGGGGAGCTGGGCACACGTTCACATACGTGCATCGGTGCTGCTCACCTCCAGCGTGGCCCTGAGCACTGCCTGTGCACACAGGCTAACCCCACGCACACTCCTTCCAGCAGGCGCTGCGGGAGGATGAGCCCATGGGCCCTGCTCTCTGTGCAGCGACGCTGCTTTGCACTCACACGTGGCTTTGGACATGACCCCCATCCCCTCAGAAACTCCCAAAGGTTTGGAGGCTCAGTGCCCAAGATTGTTTTGTGCCTGCCTGGCGTCTGCCTTCCCCTAGCCCAGTCTCCGGGGTCTCCTTCCGAGTCTGACGGTCTGCTTCGTGCTGCAGGTCCCTGGGAGAGGCGTGGGCGCAGGTGAAGAAGAGCCTGGCGGACGAGGCAGAAGTCCACCTCAAGTTCTCCGCCAAGGTAACCCCTCCCCGCGGCCTCTCTGGGCTGGGCTTGCTCCATGGTGTGCCGCCAGGCTGTGCCCAGCCGCCTCCCCTGTGCGTGGCGTTGCCAGTTCCCATGCTGTACCTGCCAGGGGTTCGGAAGAGACCACAGGAGCACAGCCCTGGCCCAGGATCCGGGATGCACACGTCCAGGGCTGGGGCAAATGGGCAGTGGCTCAGCCCAGGATGATGTTCCCGCCATCCCAGTGCCGTAGTGGGTCGTCAGGGCTAGCCACCAGACCCTGGAGGACAGGGAATGTAGTTAGGAAGTGATATGTGCTGAGTATTCCGTACCCTTATTTTTAATGTCATTGGTTAATTTTGAATATAGATCACAATTTTTAATGCTGCCGTCTTGAGCAACCAGCTCATATAATTCCTACACGTGCAGCACTTGGTGCCAGTACAGGCCGCCCCAGCATCCTTGGGGGGGGGGAGGGTCCCCTGAGGGCCTTAGGTGCACCTGTGAAGGACGACACCCCGCCTTCAGGTCGCTGGGCTCTCAAAGGAATGTGCTGGCATTTCTTCCTCCTCCTTGGTGTCAGGAGACGACGCTAGGCCAGAGAGAGAGTGGGGAGCTGGAGGGTTTTGTTTGTCTTTGTCACAACATTTCAGGCTGGGAAACTGACCCTTCTTTCATCGGTTCTGAAGACCCGGGCCCCTGGCGGAGGGCAGCACTGTCTCTGTTCCATGCTCTCCTCCCTCGGTACTCGGGCTGGGCCTGGCGGGAGCTGCTCAGCTAAGGTGGTCTGCAGTGCTGAGTGAATGGGGCTCAGGAGGAGCCGACCCTTTCAGGCCTCTTCCTCCCTCTTTCCTCCCCGCACCCTGGCCCATGTCTCCGAACTCCCTCCCGGGCTGTTGGCTACTTTTCAGGGGGAAATAAGCCACGTGTCTAAGTGACATAATCCACACTACAGTGTGCCTGGCTGGCGGCTACGCAGCAGCCCGCTGGCCTTTTAAAGGAAGGGAGACCCTTACTAAGGTGACCAGTCGTCCCTCTTTTGGCGGGGACAGTCCCGATTTTTAACAATTTGTCCCGCGTCCCACGGCGTTTTAAAAAAGTCCCGATTTTGCCAGGACCGGTTTGGCTCAGTGGATAGAGCGTCGGCCTGCGGACTGAAAGGTCCCGGGTTCGATTCCGGGTAAGGGCATGTACCTTGGTTGCGGGCACATCCCCAGTAGGGGGTGTGCAAGAGGCAGCTGATCGATGATTCTCTTTCATCGATGTTTCTAACTCTCTATCCGTCTCTCTTCCACTCTGTGAAAAATCAATAAAATATATTAAAAAAAAAAAAAAGTCCCGATTTTTTTTTGAAAAATCGGGACTTTTTTAAAAATGCCGTGGGACGCGGGACAAATTGTTAAAAATTGAGACATCTGGTCACCTTACCTTAGCTTCCTGGGTCATCACTCTCCCCCTCTCCCCCCCCCCCCCACGGACCCCCCACCAGCCACTAGACAGCCTGAGCGGCACTTGGACAGAGCGTTTAGCCCCTCTGAGTAGCGGTTTTAAATCAGGGGGCACACCGCCCCCTTTCCTACGTGAAGGTGCTGCCCTGCAAAGATGGCTGCTTCTCCCCAGGGCCTCCAGGGCCTGTCTCTGTGGAGTGCGTCCCCCACAGCAGTTGCTGTTCTGGGCCTCGGGCCCCATGGGATGTGCACTGTCCGAGGCAGCCGTCTGGCTCTGTGCCAGGCCTCCCCACCCGCTTCGTACTGGTGCCCCGCACACAGGGCAGAATGAGTGACTCAGAGATGAGCCACAGGGAGGAGCTGCAAACAGAGCTGAGCTGAAGGAGACATCCGTGCTATTTCCAGCTCCTGCTGTGCCGGGTGGGAGTGCCCAGGAGCGAGCTGCCACCCAGATGTGAGAATGCCCGGCTAACCATAACTCGCCAACCCAGGCACCAGCCCCTGCACAGGACGTCCCCCTCCAGCGGGGCGAGGAGGGAACTCAGCGGATTAGGCTCTTTCCTGCCAGGCAGACAAGGCAGCGAGTGCTTTCTAAGCTGCAGTTCATGGGAGGTGTTCCCTCCAGCCTAGAGGTGCTCCCTCCAGGTCTCCCGATGTCCTGGCCCCAGCAGCTCTGTTCCCACACACAGAAACCGCCTTTGGCTGAGAGGTTGTTGGGAAAGCTGCCAATGGGCTAGGCAGGCTGGGAGCCCGGAAAGGGCTCCTGCTGGGTCCCGGGCCCATGGCGCTTACTCCCCATCAGCAGGACCCCGCTTCTGGAATGCTCACAGACCAAACACTCCCAGCGCTCTGTGTTCCTCTGCTACTTCCTGTTCCCGCTGCTGCGCACACCGCCACTTCGGCCACCCAGTGCTTCGCCAGTGGCGTGTCCTACAATGTAACCCCGTCCCACACAGTGAAAGGGCACTCGCTCCGCCCGCACCAGCTCCCACCAGCCAGGCTCCTGGGCCCTTGGACTCAGTCCCGTGTAACCGGTTGTGTAGAGCTAAGAGCACGTAAGCCCTGGAGGTCGCCAGGGGAAAAGATCATGTACCAGGAGCCTGGTGAGGAGGAAGAGAGAAATCCCGAATCCCAGAGTGGGGTGTGTGTGTGTGTGTGTATGTGTGTGTGTGTGGTGTGTTCCTTTGACAGGAGGCTCAGCTGTACCTTTCAAAGGCATTTCTGGGGCAGGTGGAGGCCCCAGGGTCCCGGAAGGCCGGGCCAGGAGGGCATAGGAGGCTGACTCAGGTGAGGCTCAGAGAGACTGACTCAGTAAGGCTCTAGACCAAGCATGTCAAACTCAAAGGCTAATGGGCCAAGTAAACAAGGTTGAAGTGAACGTGGGCCGCAAAAAACCCCAAAAGCTCCAATTTTCATAAAAACGTAGGTTTATTTCGATAGAGACATGCTGAATACAAAGGGCTGAAATAAATGAATAATCGTTAACATAAAATAATAGAACAGTTTAATAAAAATTAATAGTTTTTCTTGAACATTCGCTTACCAGACACTGAATAATCGCACAAATTAATAAGCATAATGCAAATAAGCCTATTTTTCTTGTTCTCCGAAAGCGAAATATTTCCCATTGTGCACACCCAATGAGTCAGTCCAAGACTAAGGGTGTGGCCATCGGCTGCTAAAATATTCGCTGCTGGTATTAGTGGAGAGAAATGGTGCACCTGAGTGTAAGGCACATAAGGGAAATGAATGCAACACGGTGATAGTCTTCAGTCATTAGCGAAAGTTGTGGTTCGTTATTAATAATTATGTATAACAGGGTATTGTAAAAATTAAGTTACGAAATTTTTACCAAAAACGTTTCTGACATACCGTTACATTGGTTGGGCCGCAAAAGTATTCATTGTGGGCCACATGTGGCCCGCTGGCCCGGGTTGGACATGCTTGCTCCAGGCTGCTCACCTGGCATGGCAGCAGCTCCACATTTACCTGTTTTCTCATCAACTGCATCTCATGTTCACAACAAAAAACAAAAACGGTGTAAGTAAAAGTTCTTCAAAGAGGAGTGGGATCGAGGGAAAGAATATAAGAGAAGGAACATGCTTGGAAAATACCCCCACTCCTCTCAGAGCGTAAACCTCTTCCTCCGGCCTCCGGCCGAGAAGCCGTTCCCTGTGCCAGGATGGGCCGTGCCCGTCTCCATGCAGCCGGGTGAGATGAGCAGCCCCACCCCAGGCGCAGTGCCCAGAGGGGCCCTGGGAGCCCCCGCCGCCCCAGCTGGCTCCCGCCATTGCTTCTTGGAGCATAGCACTGCGTCCAGATCACCCCCGCAGGCTCGCACGGGCACAGAACAGGTGTTCGGGGAACAGAGCTCACAGCGTCACCCAAGATACATGGCACCCATGCCAGTGGCGGGCGCCTGGCACACCATGGCAGCGTGGTTTTGCCCTCAGAAGGCTTCCAGCTTGTAAGGTCAGGGCCCTCCCAGTAGCTGTGGGAGCTCAGAGGGAGGAGGTGGTGACCGCCACGGGCCTCAGGAAGCTCCGGACTCCAACCTGTTCACCCAGCAGTAAACAGGGGTCTGGCCGGCTGAGCCTCCTCCTCCTAAGTGGACACTCAGTTGTGCTGCGGGCCAGGCCACTGCCCAGCCCCCCTCACTGTGAGGGTGGGAGATGCCCACCCCCAGCCCTTGTGGCAGCTGGTGCCCGGGTCCTGAGCATGCCCCTCTCTCCCCCATAGCTTCACAGCGAGGTGGAGAAGCCCCTGATGAACTTCCGTGAGAACTTCAAGAAAGACATGAAGAAGTGTGACCACCACATCGCCGACCTCCGCAAGCAGCTCGCCAGCCGCTACGCCGCCGTGGAGAAGGTGAGGGGCCTGGGACGCTGGGCGGGAGGGGGTCCTCCTGGAACAGGGTGGGCTGAGTGGGGTAGGTGAGGGGGTGGGGGGTCCCCAGTCTACGCCTGAGGAACCTGCCTCCCCGCAAAGAGCAGATGGGAGCTCTCCCCCATGGCACTCAGTCACTGCCCGGAGGAAGCAGGCGAGGCTGCACCTGCAGTGGTAAGTAAAGTCTCCATCCGGGCTCCATCTGGCCCCTGAGACAAAGCACATGCAGCCACGCTCTCCTGGGGCGCGGAGCCTGGATGTGCTGCTGGGCCACATGCCCCCCTTTGTCTGGGCCTCGCCTGGCGGGTTCTCTCCTGACTGAGTCACCCCCTCCCAAAAGCCTACAAGGGCTCAGCTGGTGGAGCTGCTGACGGCCACTGGAGGAAAGGGGGCTCTCCCCGGGGGCTGACCACAGTGACAGGGTGCAGGAGAAGGGGGTGCACAGGGCTGCAGGCACATCGACAGCCAGCTGCTGCCCCCAGAGGACCCGTCCTGACCCAGACTAAGCGCTGGGGGAGGTGCCGTGGATGACCTGGGCTCGGCCCGCTGGCTGTGATTTCAGGGCTGTCTGCATGTGCACATGCTCCATCACACCAGGCCTGAGGCTTGCTGTCGGCCAAGGGCAGGGAGAGACGGGATGAGAGAGAGGGTTGCAAGCTCAGCACAGTGACTTGGCGGCCCAGTGATGCTAGGCTGAGTCTCCTCGGGCCATGATGGCATCATCCACAAGGACAGGGAAAAGCAAGGACTCTTAGCTAGACACGGGGAGGCCGTCCACGTGGCCACGGGCCCCTCCTGGCTCCGAGCCCCGTGAGCAGCGTTCCGTGTCCTGGCCCGCAGGCCCGGAAAGCGCTCACGGAGCGGCAGCGGGACCTGGAGATGAAGACCCAGCAGCTGGAGATCAAGCTGAGCAACAAGACGGAGGAGGACATCAAGAAGGCCCGGAGGAAGTCCACGCAGGCCGGTGAGAGGGCCCACCCACCTGGCTGCACCTGCCAGGGAGGCACCGCCGGGGGAGGAGGGATGTCTGGAAGGTGCATCCCACGGGATTGGGTCGGGGAGTGGGCAAGGCTGCCTCCAGGCCTGGCTCTCTGCCCCGGAAGGGGTTACTCCTCCACACCCCCGGAACTGGGGGGGTCCTGGCACTGTGGGGAGCCCCTGGAAGTACAGACTCCACCCCAGCAGGGAGGGATGCTCCAGGGGTTCACCTAGGGTGATGGGCGCCTGCCCCAGTCAGCAGCCTCGTTTCAGATTCTTCCTGAAAAATGCTTCCGGTGTGTTGGTCTCTGCTCCCACCTAGTGGTAAAAATTAGCTAATGCCCAAGGAAGGGGGAGAAGGGCCAGATAGAACCAGGAAAAACTTAAAAGATATTCCTTTTAAAAGCTTCCCTGCATTCAAGGACAGTGCGTGTTGCTTTCTAAGGCGGAAATGTGTGATGCACGATTAGGGTTCTGATCAGATGGTCCAGGTCCCTTCTACTTGGCTTCTGGTAATCCTCATACAGTCAACTCATAAGGGAACGTGGAACGAGGCAGCCACGTATGGACATTTTGAAATAAGATGGTGAAAAATAAGTCAATAACAAATAATAGAAGTATACCCAGAAATAGAAGGCATTATATACCCACTGTGATTGGGAAGGGAAACCTAGGGCGAGGAAAGGCATATTTAAATTCATGTAATTAATTAAGTTATAAGTAAAATTATATTATAAAATCAATATCTTTGTTTGGGAAAAATATTCAATCAGCACATAAGAATATAAAACCTTAATCTGCCAAATTAATCACCATCAATACTTTTTAAAACATTTTTTAATGTTTTAAATGTTTATATTTAAACGTCTACACATTCTTTTAAATTTCTTTTTGAGTGAAGCTGAGCATTTTCAAAACAGACGTATCATCTGTGACTTTTTTTCTGTGAACTGAATCACACATATCTTTTCCCCATTTTCTAGTCAGTGGCTTGTCTTGTTCTGATTGATTGACTGATTGGTTGATTAGTACAGGTTATTTACATATTAGGAAAATTATCCTTTCGTCATTTGAGTTGCAAATATTTTTCCTAGGTTGTCTTTTAATTTGTTTCTTTGTATTTGGGGGCAAGGGGTGGCTTGTTTCTTGTTATTTTTTTGCGTAGTGATCTTATCTCTATAACATAGTCTAGGTTTCATGACTAACTCAGACCTTCCCCATTTAAGATTTTTTTAAATCACTTTTTTCCTTACTATTTTTTGGTCTCAGGTTAAAAAGATTAAATATGGGGTGGGACATATGTAGGTGTACGGTTATAAGTATACAAAACACAGTATTTGTTCTTGTATTGTTATTTATTAATTATTGTATTATTTTCCATACAGACAACTGTAAACCTACTTTTCCTCCTATAGTTAGGCCACCAGACACTTACTATCCCTACGCCACACGACTGCCTAACCAAACCATATTCCCAGAGTTCTGATTTGCAGGGTTTTCCTTCTCATAGTCTGAATATTTTTGTTTTTGTGATTTGATTTCATCTTTGAGCCACACTTATAAAATCTTTACATTTTCGTGGGTTCAGGCTTTGCTACTACTGCTTTCCAGTAGTTACTACTGCTGTTTGTTTCTTGTATTTCAGTCAGCCAATAGCACGGTCTCTCACCTGCACAGTTTGGAATTGTTTGTGATGGCCCTTGGACCTGACTTTGAAAACACCTCCAGAATTCTGTGTGCCAGCCACCAGGCCTCATGCCCCAGAACATTCTCTCTCTTCACCGTCCAAGTCCTTCTACAGGGCGGTGTTTTTATACCTTTTACAAGTGAGGAAACTGGTGATAGACAGAGCGAGAAACTTCCCCAAGACCTAAGTCATGGGAAGTGTTGATGAGAATTCCATCTTATTCCAGTGACTTGGCTTTGTTGCCTTTTTGCTGGACCATCCAGAAAATGCCATCTTTTCTTTTGTCCCCTCCCTCGTGTTTTCTCGGGCAACTGGGAGGGAGGGCAGCTGATCCTTGGGACTTGACTTCCTTTTGTCTCATCATCATCATCATCATCATCGTCATCACTAACTCCTGATCCGGTTTGCTGACTCCTCGTCAGATCTGAGCACTTTACGTATATCGATGTATTTAACCTAACTCTGAAGATGCCATGATTACCCCTGTTTTGCAGATGAGGAAACTGAGGTGCAGGCAGGCTAATTGACTTGCTCAAGGTTGCGCGCTAGGCTAGTAAACGGTGGTGTTTGTATAACAGCCAAGATATCCTGGCTCCAGAAGCCACCTGCTGAACCCAAGCTGTTCAGAAGGGTTTCATTTCAGACCCTCGGGCTGCACAGAGAAAAGACACACCCTCCTTCACCTACCCTGTTTCCTGATGTTGCAGAACTTGCCAAAGCATGTTCTCAAATCAGGATTGACAAATCGGGCTTCGGGACTTTCATAGTGTACCTTTACAGGGCGACATACTACCTCCATCCCGGGTTAGGCCCAGGTCTCAGTGGGCATGCACTTGCAGTGACGTATCAACCTTTTCCTTTCCAGTTCCTGATTGTCTTGGGCTATAAGGGCCCAGTCCTTGACCTTGACCAGGAGCAAATGAACAAAGCCCTTGATTTGGTTCTGTTACTCAAGGTCACCTCCCAGCTAGTGGTATGGTTCAGGTGGAAGGGAGCGGCTGGCCAGGCCTTGGGTCGTGTGCACGTTTGCCTTCACTTTCACACCAGAGTGACAAGGTGATGTTATAGGAATAACTTCTAACCCACGCCAAGTAACAGACTTCAAGAATAAATGAGTTAGCTTTGATTGGCTCCAGTTTTCCCCTCGTGAGCAAAGACGGTGATGCATCCTCTCTGGAACCCTGTGATGGTCTAAAGGCCCGAGTGGTGCTTCTCGGACGGAGATGTGCACGGGGACCACCTGAGCATGTTGTGAAGGCGCAGTCCTGATTCCCAGGTGTCGTGTAGTCCCGAGAGCTGCACTGCCGGCAGGCTCCCGGGGGATGTGACCTGCGGGCCTGGGAGCCATGTTTTGTAGCGAGGTTCTGGGGTGCTGGTGCCTTCGTCATGTTTGCAGTTGTAGTGTGTTTTCTTTCTAATGACAAACTTGCAAACGTACTTGTGATTGCAGAAAACAGCGTCGTAGCATCCAGATGAACGGTGATGTCTGTTTCTGATCTCTTAAGAAATAAAATGCTGCGGAAAGAGCCCCTCTCCTCTCACCCAGCCTTTCTGTCCCCCTGCCAGTGCTGTCCTGGGTTGGTGGGTAGCACTTTCCATGCCATCACTGCACATGGATGAACATCCAGCAGCAAACACATTGTGTTGTGTTTCAGAATGGCATCCTGCTGCATGTACACATACACAAACATGCATATACATACATACATGCACACACACACACAAACACACAGACATAACTTGCAAATTTTTCTTCTTTAACTCTTAACTAGTACCTAGCTGCTTGTGACATTTTTTGCCCGAAAAGGACTCTCCAGTGTGATATGAAGCTACCACCTTTAGAGAGGAAGCATCCCTTTGGCTGATGCTAGATTGGATGGTGCTAGGAGTAACCCGCTCTTCACTTTAACCCCCCACACTGAGAAACTTCCATCCTGAACTCTTGGTGTCTGGGGTCAAGTTCAGTTGGGCACTCTGAAGCTGGTGTCTTGTGGTGCTGGGTTGCCCGCTCTGTCCTCTGCTTTTCCCTCCTGCCTCCACTTTCCCCTGGCCTCCATGGCCCCAGGGAGAGGAGAAGACATGGCTGTGGGGGGCAGGGGGCAGAGGGCAGCCACGGCAAGCACAAGACAGGGGGTAACGTGGCCTTGGCCTCTCCTAGGAGATGACCTCATGCGCTGTGTGGACCTCTACAACCAGGCCCAGTCCAAGTGGTTTGAAGAGATGGTGACCACCACGCTGGTGAGTGCCCCAGAGGTGTGAGCATACCCGTTCTGTGACTGGCTCTCAGGGTGCCCTGAGTGGGTGCCGGCGGGCATGTAGGCGGTAGAGTGGGCTGACTGTGAAGAGTCATTATGTCTGCTCACCTTGGAGTCCAGACCTCGCCTCTGGGTGAGTCCAAGCTCATTGGTATCCTTGCTCTGGCCCTTCCTGGCTGGGTAAACATGGGGAAGGGTTGGCTGTGTCCTGAGGGGTCGGGTTCAACTGAGGAACCCCCAACAAGTAAACAGTGGCCCCTTTAGGGCAAATAGCCAAGTTGCAGGAAGCGTGACCCTCTCACCCCCAGAGGAGTCTCAGCTCCTACAGGGGAGATCCTTGCAGGGGCGGAGGGTGAAGCTGGGAGCTCTGTAGGGAGAGCGGGGGTGACCCACGATCAGGGGGTGAGGGATAGGCATCAGAGCCCTTCTCCCGCCTTCCCGAGATTTCCTGTGGGGGGCAGCACCTCCTCCTCAGTCAGCACCAGGCGCAGTGAGATGCGGTGGGCACGTGGGCACATGGGCCGTTGGGCCAGAGGGAAAGGAGCATCATGCCAGCTGTTTGTCACGTTGCCCCATTGCCAAAGCCACCCCTGTCCGGCACAGGCAGTGACCTGCTTTTCCTCCTGGTTAATCTCCTAATTAAGCCCCCTCCTTTACCCCTCCCTGGGTAATCACTGGCGCAATGACCTAGTTATGCAAGAATAACAGCCTGATCCCCTCAGTTCCAAAGATGCGGTACCAACTAGACCAAAGGACAAACCCTTTTCACTCTTCCCTTTGACAGGGGCCACCCCACCCCCTGCCCCTGCCCCTGCCTCCCCTGGCCTGGTCTCGGGTCTGTCCCTCAGCACTCAGGGTGGACAGCGGACAGAGGCCCAGGGAGCCATGGGCACCCCGCATGCGTCCCATGTCTCCACCACCCCACCCCCCCCCCGGGAACCAGACCCGGGCCTGCACTGGTGCAGAATCATGAGTCAGACCACAGCAGTTCGGGTTCAAATTTCGCTCCTCCCGTAATTCCATGTCACTATGGGAAGGTGACGTTACCTCTCTTGTTTGGAAAACGTGGACAAGAACAGAGCCTGTCTCTTCAGATTATTTTGAGCACAATAGGTAACACCTGTAATGCTCAGCACCCACCCTCCAGCAGTAGCTAGCTGCTGGGCCAGCATCCTCACCGGCACCGCTAGATGTGGGACGGGTTCCTCATCAGGGTCAGGAGGGATCTGGCCTACGCAGTGGCGACATGTGTGAGAGGGTGGCCTGGGGCCATGTGGTGGGAAGGGCATGTCCCATGTCCAGGTGGAGGGACACGTCCCAGACGTCTGCGTTTCCTCCTGTGCAGGAGCTGGAGCGGCTGGAGGTGGAGCGGGTGGAGATGATCCGGCAGCACCTGTGCCAGTACACACAGCTGCGGCACGAGACAGACATGTTCAACCAAAGCGTGAGTTCCCCGCCCCGGGCGGAGGCCCCAAGGCCCCAGGGGGACCACTGTCCCGTGGCGGGTGGAGTGGCCACTGCACATGAGCCTGAATGGGCAGTGAGCAGCCCGGGGACAGGCCTGCAGGGTGTCCTGCCCACCCACAGGAACCCATCCCAAGCGCGTGGAATGGAGGCAGCGCGCGTGAGCTGTTTCCCCATGACCACGCTCATGGTAGTTAAGTAGCTGAAGACGGTATTGCCTGCCCCGGCGAACCTCTTACCAAAAAGATAAAAGAACCAGAACTATCGATATGCAGCATGTCTAACGCGACAGTGTCATTGGTCCTGTTCTGTGGTGGTAGCCGTGGGAGCGAAGGGTGGAACTGGTCATCGGCCTGGAGCCATTGAGCCACTCTGCCCTTCCATCCGGCCTGCGGTCCGGAGGGTCAAGTGCTCGATAAAAAAAGCAGGGTGGGACGAGAGGTCCCGGCTCCCGCTCTCACAGCCTCTGCACGTCTGCCCCTCACGGGCCTCCCCTGGGACCCCCAAACCTCCGAGAGGCTGCTGTGACAGCGGAGATGCGGGCAGCCTGCCTCAGAGGCAGTGAGATCTGAGATGGCGTCCTCTCTCCTCCATCCCTTGCAGACAGTCGAGCCTGTGGACCAGCTGCTTCGAAAAGTGGACCCAGCCAAAGACAGGGAGCTGTGGGTCAGAGAGCACAAGACGGGCAACATCCGCCCTGTGGACATGGAGATCTAGGCGGGCACATGCGGCCCCCGGGGTCCTGCCAAGGAGAGGGGCCGGGGGCGCCATGGAGAGGAGGTGGTGGGTCCCGCTGCCAAGTGGAGCTGCCCTCTCCCCCACTCTCCTGCCCACTGAGGAGAGGGAAGGGTGAGAGCTGCAGCCAGCCATTCCAGAAGGGCGGCTTGGCGGCCTCACTGGGAGGTCCCCAGTGTTCCCAGGACAAGAAAGTGGATCCACAGCCCCGCCCTTGTCTCTGAGGCCGAAGACCCCTCCCCCCAACTCCCACGTTGTGCTTGCCGTTTCGGGAACAAACTGAAGCTGGAACTTTGTGGTCCCTGCTGAGCACCGTAGGGTCATCGCTCTGCCCAGAGCCAGCTGAGTCACATGCTCGTGTCCCTGGAGGCCCTGAGGTCCTTCCTCCAGCTGGCCCTCTGGTCTCCAGGGCTTTGGAGGGTCAGGGGAGGGAGGTCTCTGTCTCCAAGCTAAGTGTCAGGATCACAGTCGTGGATAGAAGGCAGCGTTCAACAGTCCGCACTCAGAATCCTTTGCAGCCTTCCTTCTTTATTTTTCCCCCAATGCATTCTGGGAGTCCACATCCTGGCTCTTCCCTGTCACCGTTCATGATCAAGAGTCTTGGGAAGAAGGCCTAGCTCCCCTCTTCCAAGACTGACCCTGCCTGGAGAGGTCAGGATGGAACTACCTCATCAAGCAAATTGGCCCTCAGTCACAGTGCTGAGTCGGGTTCCCCAGTAGATCAGGCATCCTCTGCAAAGTCCAAGAATCCCCAGTCCCTCTCCTCCCCCTCTGCAGATGCTCCCTCCGCCCATCCCTGCCCCTTTCCACACTCTAAACAGGGCTGGGTCAGTCCCATGTGGGAGACAGGCTGGGACAAGCCTTTGTCATCCCTAGTGGCTCCCCCTGCTTGCATATGCCAGCATTGGGATCACTGACCCTCGTATGGCTTCCTGTCATTGGTGGTCACTGTCCAGACTTAACATGGCCGCAGTAGGTTGTTGCCTACTGGGCAGCGTCTCGCTACCATGGCCTCAGCAACTCCTGCACAGCCCAGAGCCCCTCATCAGGCCCTGCTTGGTGCCGGGCCCCCTTCCCCTTCTTCAGCTCCCAGTTCCTGGTAAGACCTGGTCTGAGTGTGACTCAGGGAGCTTTCAGGGCAGCAGTCGGGTCCTTGCCCATCGTTTGTTCATCTTCCCGACCACAGCAAACGTGTGCCCCGTCATGTGAAGTCTTGAAAAAGCAGTTCGAAAGGCCCAGAAGAAGAATAGGGACCTGAAGGAGGAAGTGCAGCCAGCAAGGGGCAGGTGGCAGCCTGCAACCCCTCACCTGAGAACCAACCCATCTTTCTTACGTCATCTTCCCCAGCGATTCCTTTGGACTTACAGGATCCATATATTCCCCAGAGTGTAGAATTCTAAGAGCACAACTTACTGGTCTTTCAGTCTTACGTATCTGATGATGTATTAACCTTGGATCTTCCGGTGCCTCCTGCATTGAGTCAGACCGCGCTCTCGCAGCTGATGGTAGAGAGAAGCTGAATATACTAAAGCAAACCAGACTGTGTCCCTTCTCTCACTGAAGCATCCCAACCAGAAAGGTCAGTGTGAAGGCCTTCTCCAACCAGAGTCTGTCCACTGCATAGAGAGCCACTCCTGGCGCTGGGACGGGGCCATGACACCAGCCACCGATTTCAGGGTATCCGTTCTTGGGTTCTTTATTAAAAACAGGTGCAAGTAGCAACTGCGTTGTGGCTTAGTAAACTAATTTGTGGATGATATTCAGATATTCAAAGCCAATAGCCTTGTTAGGAACACATATTTTAAGTGGATATGCTCATTGAGTTTGCCTTCTCCCTTCTCTCTGAGGGTTCTAGCCTCCTGCTCCTCCCTGGGACCGAGGCAGCTCTCCTGCCTCTTCTGGGATAGCCTGAACTGGCCTAGTGTGGGCCAGTCTGTTTGATGAAATGATTCTTTCCTCCTCATCTCTTCACCTCAGTCTCGGTAGCTTTTTCACATACATTTTCTCTTTTGTTCATTCGTCAAGCATTTAGCTGAAGACAAGTGCTGTGCTTAGATCTGAGGGCAAGGTATTGGCTTATTTTCTGTGATTTTGTATAGACATCTTTTCTTCAGGGTTCTTGCATATTAGTGGCCTTGGCATTCACATAGAGGTACTCTGTAGACCTTGGGTTTTCAGGGATACTGTCTGTTGTGCTGACCTGCATTCATTTATTCATTTGTTTATTCAGCAGATCCTTGGGACAAGCCAGGCCCTCTTGCCAGTCCCTCTATTGCCCACGTAGACAGGGATATGTTGACCTTTCTGGAGAATGAGAACATTTAACCTACCACATTTAACCGACTGGGAACCTGTAATTATAATGCAAACTACCGTCATACGGCACTTACCCAACTGGTGGGAGATAGACAGCAACAAGTGCTCAGTGCCCTAGTCACTAGACTCCCAGCCCATATCCAACTTGAATTTCTGAGATTTCTTTTTTCTGTCTGGTTACCCTTCACCCGAGAATATTTTTCCCATTGATTTTTAGAGAGAGTGAAAGGAATGGGGAGAGACAGAGAGAAGGGAAATATCGATGTGAGAGAGACACATTGGTTGGTTGCATCCCACACATGCCCCAACCGGGCTCAGGGATGGATCCTGCAACCAAGGTACATGCCCTTGACTGGAATCGAACTCAGGACACTTTAGTCCACAGGCTGACGTGCTAACCACTGAGCAAAACTGATTAGGTCTGAGATTTCTTTTTGGTTTTAAATAACTCCTCACTTTACAAAGAGGATGAAGTCTAAGCATGGCCAGTGAAATTAAAACTGAAGAGCAGAGCTGGAGTCGACAGTCCGGCCCCCTGTTCTTGTCAGCAGCCCCCCACCTCCACCCCCACCCCCACCCCTGCAGTCTGGGTGAAACCAAGGTCAGGATGAAGTCCAGAGCATCTAAACCTGCACGTCAGGGTAGCAAACCCTCTCTCTGGTCACTGCTTTGCGCTTATGTCCTGGTTGTTTAGGTTGTAAGAGGATTTCACTGGGTTTATTCAGAAGGGTGAGTGAGTCTGGGTTTTTCATTTCTGAAAACAAGTGAGCCTCTTCTACCTGCCTTCAGTTAGTTTTATCTGTGAAAACCCGGTTAAAAAAAAATTCTCTATGGCAAACGATCTTCAACGTGAGCAGGTTGCCGTGACAACCTCTAGGAAAAGGAACCGGTCCCTCCGTTTTTTTGCCTAGTGTTTTTTGGTTGTTTTTTTTTGTTGTTTTTTTTTTTAAACAGTATTGCAAAGCCCTGGCGACTGAACCACAGGAGTGGCTGTCCTGAGGTTCTGTCTCGGTGCACCCGGGCCTCCTCCACCTCTACCCAGCGCCCCTGGGGCCGGAGGATGCCCAGGCAGAAGGCCGCAGAAGCCGCCGATTCCCCGTGTGAAAGCTGACCAATTACTAGAGAGGCGATGGGTGCAGAAAACTCTTGGCTGAGCCCAAGTCCCTTCTTGGAAACACAAGCCATAAAATTCAAAGGCGTCAGGGGCCTCAGTGTGTTTAAGGGATTCTGCTCCCAGCTGGGCGAGGCCTGGACCCGGAGCAGGGCATCGACACAGATTCCGCAGGCCTGCTGTCACCACGTAGGCAGGGAGAGCACCTTACAAATGCTACATGGGGTGCAGATGGCGGCGTGCTCACTTAGCCAGCACCCCATCTTACTCCACTGGTCCTTCTCACCCAACAGGATGCACCATCTTTTCTTTTTCCAGGTTTGCTGAGGTATTTGATACTCAGGATGGGGGGTTACTGACACACAGGAAAAGTCACCCTTTTGAAGGATACTGGTTCTGTGAATTCTGACAAACTTGGACAGCCTCTGGAATCAGCATAATCTTTCCATCACTCCAATTCCCCCAGAGCCCCAGAGTCAAGCCACTCCTCCCACTCCAAGCCCTTGGCAACCACTGATTAATTCTCTGACCTTATGATCTGCCTCTTCCAGAAGGTTGTGTACACGGAGTCACTCTGTGTAGCCTTTGCGTCTGGCTTCTCTCACTCGGCTGGATGTTGTTGAGCTAGCCTGTTTGTGCGGCTGCTTCCAGCCCCAGGCTCCTTCTCCAAACGCCAGCCATGCCCACAGGTAGTTCTGGAGGCTCACGCTTGCCTTTTTTGGCTCATGCCAGGATTAGACAATGCAGAAGGTTGCCAGGGAGTGGGCGGAGGGGTGGGTGGGGTCTCGGCTGCCTTCCATGTCTGCTGTGCCCTGAAGCTTGCAGGTCCCTCTCTCCTGGGGACCCTCATGTCTGCTTCGCTTGCACAGTCCTTTTTGGCATTTATTGAGCATTGGGGGTGAAGGGGGGGGAAAGCGAATGGGCATAGCATGGATGAGAAGGCAGGGACTGGCCTTGGGCTCCTCACCGCCCTTTACTGGATCTGCTTCATCTGCAAACCGAGGGTATGATTCTAGAAGGTCTCAGGCCTTCTGCAGTTACTACAGCCTATCTTCCTACGAGCCATTCCCAATTCTGTGCCCTGCGCGCATGGCCCCACCGAATCTGGGTCCCATCGGCGCAGTGGTGCACGGTATCACCTAAAATCCTCACGAGAAGGACACCCCGGCATGCCTCCGTTTAGATACAAATGAAGCTACGATTAAGAGCTTTGTGAGCTATGGACAATGAGGTTGTTCCTCTGTAGGACCCCCACGGTGACAGCTCCTCCAAGCCCTGTGCTGATCACAGTCTGCTCAGTGACAAGTGAGCCACGGAAGGCAGCCAGGCAAACTAGTAACCCTGAGTCCAGGCCGGCGCAGGCCCGCAGGCTCCTTGTAATGAAGCCACGGTCTGTGCTGCTGGAGGCCTGGGCTGCCTTTTGCCGGGGAGGACCCCTCACCACCGGCCGGCCCCTAGCAGTCTTATTTTTGTCCAGCCTCTCTTGAAGGGAGGGACCCAGCTCCTACAGCTGCAGGTTGGGGTGAGACTCAGACAAGTGACAAAGCATGTTCCTCTTCCCCTCACCATCGCTGGGCCGGGCTCTCCGGGGCCTCTGCTGGGAGGTGCCTCTGAGGCAGAGGGGCTGTGACCACCTCAGACCGCTCTGGGCACCGTTCCGGGGACATTGATCCTTTGTGTTTCAGGGAGATTCCCGATGGGATTGCAAAGGTGAATGCAAAGGGTGCGGCACACGGGTGCTCTGCTGGGGACAGTGTGACCCTGGGACAGAGGTCCCAGGGGCAAGAGCATGGGACTAGCTGCTCTGCTGTCTCATTTATCCCGGGACCTGAAGTTATCACTTCCCCTCCCGGGACCTCTGTGGACCCATCTGTCAAGGGAGATGCTCTCTTCCAGCGTCATTACAGCATTGGGGGTCCTGGCTCTCGGGAGCTGGGGCTTCCAGGCAGCCTTGTGGCCCCAGGGAGAGGACGTTCAAAGGGACACCAGCCCCCCTGGGTGAGGGGCCCCGCATCGGCAGCTCTGCCCTGCCCCCAGGAAGGAGGCAAGGGGGCGGAGGGGCATGGCGGTCCCTCCACAGACACGAGCACATCACAAACCCGACGAAGGTGGAATTTTCTAACAAAATAAACTTGCTTGTTTGGTCTGTTTTCTGTAACTTTTGCTAAATACTTTATACATTTCTAATGTTGCAAAGCTGTGTCTCCTGCCAGCATTCCTCATCCTGGTATGAATGTGTTTACTTGGAATTGTATATCCCTCCCCTCTGGCTGCCTAGATGGGTAAATAAAATCGATGTAATATAATTTATAAGTAACCCTGTTGAAACTCCGATCCCTATGGGGGCGCTCTTCCCGCCCCCCGGTAATAGCATTTGTGTGTATTAATGCTGAAGAATTAAATGTTTAAAGGGTTTCCATTTTGAAGGCATTTGCTATATATAATTGCTCTGCGTTATTATAAGGCATTTTCAGGAGTTAAATGCTCTCCCATCTTTTTCCCTCGGCTCTGGGTGGACACTTGAGATGCGCAGAGTCACCCCATGGGAAATAAACTGTCCAGCGACGCCAGTCTCACTGGGTGAGCCTCCTTCCTGGAGCGTGGCCTTCTGTCCTTTTACAAAGGGTCTTCGCATTCCTCCAGGCTCCCAGTATCGGTGATGAGTTTTCTCCTGAGGACTTAGCAGAGGGCCAAAAGGCACCTGGGCATTGATGTGCCAGACAGGTGCCAAGCTGCCATACCCACACACCTGGCCCCCAGCCCAGACCACTCTCCTGGTGACTTAGTCCTGCAGACACAAGGGGCTCCTGGCGATAGTTTCTTTCTTTTTTTAATAGATTTTATTGATTTTTTACAGAGAGGAAGAGAGAGGGATAGAGAGTTAGAAACATCGATGAGAGAGAATCATCGATCAGCTGCCTCTTGCAAACCCCTGCAACCAAGGTACATGTCCTTGACTGGAATCGAACCTGGGACCTTTCAGTCTGCAGGCTGACGCTCTATCCACTAAGCCAAACTGGTTTCAGCTGGCTCTAGTTTTTTGTCTCATCCATCCATCCCTTCCACACTTGGTGCCATATTATTGAGCACCCACTACCCTGTCCTGGGTCTGGGAACACAGTGCATGAAACAGGCCAGGGGGTAAGGTCATGTTGTCTTTGAGCTAAGAGCAGGGGAAGGTGAGTGAATGGTGGTTGGGGACCTGGGGGCTGGGCCCCGGCTAACAGCTAAGACAGCTCCTGGTTTGGGGTGTGAACAGGGCCAACCTCTGGGAAGAGCCTGCTTCTTACAGTCAAGGTCAGGCCCGGGGAGACACACACCGAGACTGACCGGAGACGAGCCTTCTCCCCAGTGGTCTTCGGGGTTCGGGGAGAGTTTACGGTCCCAGCTCAGACTTAACAAATCCGTTCACAATACATCATCTCCAACAACTTGTTTGGCTAAGGAGCGTAAACTCTCCCTCTGATAGAAGATGTTTATGCAGGTTTTCAAACAAACCTCCAGGTCATGACCCCTCCTTCAGCAGCATCAACACAGCTGCCTGTGGTCCCCTCCAGCGGTCCGGCCCCTCTGGGCACAGCAACCTGAAGAATGCGGCCAGTGCCAGGCTGCCTCCAACCTGGTTCCAGCTCCTTCCTCCTTGCCCTTGGAAAGGGCAGAGAGGTTGGGGGCTAGAGGGAGTGTGGCTCCAGCAACCTCTGTGTTAACCCAGGGCCCTGTTTCCTTGGCCACATCTTCTGTTGCCATGGCAACCCCTTACCTATAGAAATGGAGATTCTTGCCCCCTGGGCTCGGGCCCTGGTAATGTCTCCAGAAAAGCCCTGGATGGGAGCCTGCAGTCCTGGGCTTCCCTCCCACGTTGCCACTTAGCCCCCAGTGACCCAGGCAGGCAGGGTGCGCCTGGGAGCTCCGTTTCTCCCTGTAACCTCAGCCTGGCCTCACCGGCAGGCTTGATGTACACAGCCTGGGCCCAGGAGGCTCTTCTCACCGCCTCTCTCACCTGGTTCCGAGGTCAGGTATGAAGCCTCCGCCTCGTTCATGGCCTGGGTTTTGTTTGTTTGTTTTCTAGTGCAGTGACTGTCCTGTTTCTAACTGCTCTGGAAACAAATGCCTTGCTACAGGACAGGGAAATCCAGAAC